GATACCCTCGTCTCTTGATGGGAAGTGTATTTAATCCCATTAAAGAGAAGCCTGTTGGAAGGGAGAAATTGTGCCATTTGGGAGAAATACAATCTGCCATAGTCTACCCTCTGGCTGTGAACATTCACATCCTTCTCACATGCAAAATACACTCATATTCCCCAAAAACATCAAGTTTCATTCCATTATGGCAGTGGCTCAAAGTCCAAGATTGTTTCATCTAAACAGGTCTACACGTAGGTGAAGATCTTGGAGTGGTTTCTTTTTTCTTTCTTTTTTTTTTCTTTTTTGAGATGGAGTCTCATTCTGCTGCCCAGGATAGAGTGCAGTGGCGCAATCTCAGCAACCTCTGCCTCCCAAGTTCAAGCAATTCTCCTGCCTCAGCCTCCCAAGTAGTAGGGATTACAGGCACCTGCCACCATGCCTGGCTAATTTTTGTATTTTGGGTAGAGATGGGGGTTCACCATGTTGGCCAGACTGGCATCGAATTCCCGACCTTAGGTGATCCACCTGCCTCAGCCTCCCAAAGTGCTGAGATTACAAGCGTGGCGTGCAGTTTCTTGAATGGTTTCTCTCTTTCCGATGACCTCCCACCCCACACCTCACAAACATACACTGTGGAGAAGGCAAAGGAACAGCCACTAGGGACACTCTCACGCAAGTAAACAGCAGTTCGCAGCAATTCTAAAATGTAGCGGAGCTGGGCACAGGTGGCCAGTGTCTGAAATGGGGCTCAGGCCTACTTCTTGGGAGCTGTTCCTTGAGATTCTTGTCTCCACACACTGGGCTTTGGTTCTACTGAGTCATCTCTTTTCCATAAGGAGCCTGTGTTTGTAGCTGGGTGAGGTTTTCTCAGCCTGCTCACTGAAGTTTTAGGGTCCAAAAGCCTCTTTTCCTTTTACACTGTCTGTTCCTTCTCATTTAAGCTGATAAAATTGGACTTTCGGCCGTGCGCAGTGGCTCATGCCTGTAACCCCAGCACTTTGGGAGGCTGAACCGGGTGGATCACAAGGTCAGGAATTCGAGAATGCCCAATATGGTGAAACCCCATTTCTACTAAAAATGCAAAAATTAGCCAGGACTGGTGGCATGCACCTATAATTCCAGCTACTCGGGAGACTGAAGTAGGAGAATCGCTTGAATCTGGGAGGCAGAGGTTGCAGTGAGCTGACATTGTGCCACTGTACTCCAGACTGGGCAACAAAGAGAGACTCTATCTCAAAAAAAAAAAAAGAAAAGAAAAAAAGGAAAATGGATAAATCGCCAGGTGTGGTGGCTTACGCCTGTAATCCCAGTACTTTGGGAGGCCGAGACAGGCAGATCTCTCGAGGTCAGGAGTTTAAGACCAGCCTGGGCAACATGGTGAAACCCTGTCTCTACTAAAAATAAAAAAAAAAAAAATTAGCCAGGTGGTGAGCACTCAGGAGGCTAAGACAGGAGAATCACTTGAACCCACGAGGTGGAGGTTGCAGTGAGCTACGGTTGCACCATGCACTCCAGCCTGGGTGATAGAGTAAGACTCCATCTCAAAAAAAAAAAGAATAAACCAAATGAATTTATCCCTTGAAACCCAAAGACCTCAACGCACTAAAATACCAAATAAAAGCTCAGCTCCAGCTGATAGTCTCCGCATTGTCCCTGCTCTTGCTCAAGTTTTATTTTCTGTCTGTAGTGGTCCCGTTTTATCTCCAAACCCTACCTGTTGGTATGAGCACAAATTTTTAAACTATGCCTTTTTCACAAAGGCTTCCCTCACCCCTAGTCTCAGTCAGACTTATCCCTTCTCCCAGCACCTGTTGTATTTGCTGTCTTTTGCATTCACAGCAGCATCCAACAGTACATTTTTTTTTTTTTTTTTTTGAGACAGTCTTGCTCTGTCACCCAGGCTGGAGTGCAATGGCACAATCTCGGCTCATTGCAACCTCCGTCTCCCAGGTTCAAGCAATTCTCCTGCCTCAGCCTCCCGNGTGGCGTGCAGTTTCTTGAATGGTTTCTCTCTTTCCGATGACCTCCCACCCCACACCTCACAAACATACACTGTGGAGAAGGCAAAGGAACAGCCACTAGGGACACTCTCACGCAAGTAAACAGCAGTTCGCAGCAATTCTAAAATGTAGCGGAGCTGGGCACAGGTGGCCAGTGTCTGAAATGGGGCTCAGGCCTACTTCTTGGGAGCTGTTCCTTGAGATTCTTGTCTCCACACACTGGGCTTTGGTTCTACTGAGTCATCTCTTTTCCATAAGGAGCCTGTGTTTGTAGCTGGGTGAGGTTTTCTCAGCCTGCTCACTGAAGTTTTAGGGTCCAAAAGCCTCTTTTCCTTTTACACTGTCTGTTCCTTCTCATTTAAGCTGATAAAATTGGACTTTCGGCCGTGCGCAGTGGCTCATGCCTGTAACCCCAGCACTTTGGGAGGCTGAACCGGGTGGATCACAAGGTCAGGAATTCGAGAATGCCCAATATGGTGAAACCCCATTTCTACTAAAAATGCAAAAATTAGCCAGGACTGGTGGCATGCACCTATAATTCCAGCTACTCGGGAGACTGAAGTAGGAGAATCGCTTGAATCTGGGAGGCAGAGGTTGCAGTGAGCTGACATTGTGCCACTGTACTCCAGACTGGGCAACAAAGAGAGACTCTATCTCAAAAAAAAAAAAAGAAAAGAAAAAAAGGAAAATGGATAAATCGCCAGGTGTGGTGGCTTACGCCTGTAATCCCAGTACTTTGGGAGGCCGAGACAGGCAGATCTCTCGAGGTCAGGAGTTTAAGACCAGCCTGGGCAACATGGTGAAACCCTGTCTCTACTAAAAATAAAAAAAAAAAAAATTAGCCAGGTGGTGAGCACTCAGGAGGCTAAGACAGGAGAATCACTTGAACCCACGAGGTGGAGGTTGCAGTGAGCTACGGTTGCACCATGCACTCCAGCCTGGGTGATAGAGTAAGACTCCATCTCAAAAAAAAAAAGAATAAACCAAATGAATTTATCCCTTGAAACCCAAAGACCTCAACGCACTAAAATACCAAATAAAAGCTCAGCTCCAGCTGATAGTCTCCGCATTGTCCCTGCTCTTGCTCAAGTTTTATTTTCTGTCTGTAGTGGTCCCGTTTTATCTCCAAACCCTACCTGTTGGTATGAGCACAAATTTTTAAACTATGCCTTTTTCACAAAGGCTTCCCTCACCCCTAGTCTCAGTCAGACTTATCCCTTCTCCCAGCACCTGTTGTATTTGCTGTCTTTTGCATTCACAGCAGCATCCAACAGTACATTTTTTTTTTTTTTTTTTTGAGACAGTCTTGCTCTGTCACCCAGGCTGGAGTGCAATGGCACAATCTCGGCTCATTGCAACCTCCGTCTCCCAGGTTCAAGCAATTCTCCTGCCTCAGCCTCCCGAGTAGCTGGGACTACAGGCGTGTGCTATTGCACCCGGCTAATTTTTGTATTTTCAGTAGAGATGGGGTTTCACTGTGTTAGCCAGGATGGTCTCAAACTCCTGACCTTGTGATCCGCCCGCCCTGGCCTTCCAAAGTGCTGGATTACACGCCCAGAGTTTCTTTTTTTTCTGAGACAGGAGTTTCGCTCTTGTTGCCCTGGCGCCATCTTGGCTCACTGCAACCTCTGCTTCCTGGGTGCAAGTGATTCTCCTGCCTCAGCCTCCCAAGTAGCTGGGATTACAGGCATGTGCCCCCATGCTTGGCTAATTTTGTGTTTTTAGTAGAGATACGGTTTCTCCATGTTGGTCAGGCTGGTCTCAAACTCCTGACCTCAAACTCCCAAAGTGCTGGGATTACAGGCATGAGCCACCGTGCCCGGCCAATGCATTTTCAAATATTAGTTGTGTGATATGGGTTTTAAAAAGCCCCCAGGCTGCCTGTGGTGGCTCACACCTGCAATTCCAGCACTTTGGCAAGCAGAGGTGGCTTGAGACCAGGGGTTTGAGAAAAGCTTGGGCAGCACAGTGAAACTTTGCCCCTACAAAAACAAACAAACAAAAATCCCCTTCAATGAGTTTATTGGCTACAAAAGGATAATGTTTATCACATGTAATTGGAGTGACAGAAATCCTCCTGTCGGAAGCAATTGAGACTGGTATCTGATGTGTCAAGCAAAAAGACGGTTAAACTAGAGATCCGTAAAAGAGATCTTAAATATTTTAACTTAAAACATAAATGTGCCTTCATTTTCTCATCTTTGGAAATGAAGCTAAGCCTTTTCTATGAGTGATTTTAAAGACTGAGTGCTCACACCTGAAATGCAACAGTTTCTGTTTCATGAAGCTTGAACAAGCAACTAACATTTGGGAAATAATACTCGTGGAGGAATCCTGAGATTCTAATAAGTTTTCTTCAGTGATTTAGTATTGTTCAGACCTAATTTGATAGCAATTATTTTTTCTTTTTCTTTTTTCCCCACAGACCTTCCAGCCAGAGATGGCAATTTTTAAAAAGTGACAGCATTTATCAACTCTTTCTAAAGCATTTGACTAAACAACTCTCCTTGCACTCAAACTCATCAATGTATACAACGCTGAATCAGATTACAGAATCTCAACAGGCTTAAACAGGTTTTGGAAGAGATACAACAGATGCTTGAGAAACACTAATTTGTGATAGATGTTATCCTCAGGCATACTTAATAATCCCATTAGCTCCAAGCAGTGCTAGGGGCCTGGGCATCAGTCACTGTGTTCACAGACAGAATGTAAGCACCATTTAAATTCTAGTGAGCTATTTTAGGGTGATTAAAAGACAATCCACTGTTCCATTGTTTTCTTCACAACATCCAGCATGGACAAGAATCCATGAAATTGAGTCTGGTGAAAATGCTGGAAGGAGAGAAGAGCTAGAAAGAGCTACAAAGGTAAATGGAAAACATACTGCAGAGAGTATATCATCTGTCACATGAATCTCCTGGGTTCTGGATTTTTGGGACTCAGAACTTTTGAGAAGTGAAAAAATAAAAAGAACTGTAATGGCATTTCAGAGGAGAGAAAAACTGAACTTACCTGGGACCTCACCATCTGTGAGCCATCATTCATTTCTTTCTCCTCCATGTTCTCTTCCTGAGAAAAAACAGCACTCTGAGAAGGCATAACTAGGAAAAGGAGAAGCACCTTGTTAATACATGATATGAAGGCTAAATTCAAATCCTGGAGCTTCTGCTTTGTGTAGACGTGGCAGACACTACAGAGAAGCCCTGTAAGACATAAGCTTAAAGGCTGTGCCGTTTCTATTCCTCTGTGACATTAGGGAATTCAATGCAGAACTGTCTTTCTTCTGTGGTGCAACTTCCCTTGTTGTGGCCTTGGGAAGCTCAGGGGTTTTCAGCCCTTGCTACATACTGGTGAAAATTTAAAAAGAAGCCAGTACTCAGCCCTGACACTCAGAGATTTGGATTTAATTGATCTGGGGTGGGTCTGAGCAACAGCATTTACAATTTTAAAGTTTCCAAGTGACTCTAAGTGTACATGAGAACTACTGGGATAAACTGATGGAGAGGACATTGGTGAGGGCCCATTCTTACTCTTTATCCTCACAAGAAATGAATTCACTCCAACACGTGCACTCCAGAGATCTGGCTCTCCTCTCCTCTAAGGCGATCCCTCTAATATACAAAGGAAACATCACTATTCTCATTTTTCTGAGTGTTTACCTTCCTTTGTGAGTCTCTGGATTTAGTCTTCCACTGGGATTATACCTCTTTGCAGTTCTGAGGTTGTAATGTCACCAAAGCTCTGTGTTCTTCTACATGACAGTCAGGAGATACACCAGCATCAGCAGCTTCAGGATCTGAGGCAGTTCCTGAAAGTTGATTTTCAGTGCCTTATGGGGAACAGCCACTCTCTGGTTCTAAAGGTGCCCCATCTCTGATGACAGCCTCAGGAGCCAGTGAATAGCCACAAGAATGATTTCTGCGCACTCTCAGAATCTTGCCTTGTTCATGCTGAGTTGAGATGTAGGAGGTCTCGAAGGTTGTTATTACCTTTTTTCTCTCTCTCTAAAAGCATCAATTCCTCATGTACACATTTCACTATGGTATTCAAATCTGCATCCTGGCAGGGATCTTGTAAGATAGAATTTCAGGTTGAAGACCTGTAATGAGATACACCAGGGTCAGCAGAAGAAATCCAGCAGTTTCAGCCACCTAGGGGTTTACAAACAAACCATTCATACAGACAGAGCACAGTAAGGTGTGGCGTTCTTTAATCAAAAAGCACTCTTAGAATTTCTCAGATTCACACATTACAAAAGGCAGAGATGTGTACATGTGTCAATGACAACAAATTCAGCCTCAGTCCTTTCCTAAACTTTTACAGAACAGAGAACACATGCTCTTTGCCTAGAGAAAAAGTGATGGTTTTCTTTAGAAAGATGGAAAAACACGTGTTTCATCAACAGAGTAAGACTGTGTTGATTTCCTAATAATCATGAAGGAATACATTTTTTTTCTGTTCACAAAGGTTGACCTGGGAAATCTTTTTTAAAATGGGAGTGGGCCGCGCATGGTGGCTCACGCCTATAATCCCAGCACTTTGGGAGGCCAAGGCGGGTGGATCACGAGGTCAAGAGATCGAGACCATCCTGGCCAACATGGTGAAACCCCGTCTCTACTAAAAATACAAAAAATTAGCCGGGCGTGGTGGTGCACGCCTGTAGTCCCAGCTACTCGGGAGGCTGAGGCAGGAGAATTGCTTGAGCCCAGGAGGTGGAGGTTGCAGTGAGCCGAGATCACGCCATTGCACTCCAGCCTGAGTTAACAAGAGCAAAACTCTGTCTCAAAAAAAAAAAAAAAATACGAGTGATGGAAGTAAAGAAAGAAGCCATTTCTGAGAAGCAATTTTTTGAAAAAGAAAACTGCAGTTCCAGTGAAATGGCCCTGTGAGGTGAGGCAGCCTTTCACGGCCCAAGGCATGGCAACAATCTGATATTTCAAAGCCCTTCACTAAAACCTTTCAAGAGTGAGTCGAAAGCACTTTAAGAACTAGGTTCTTCACTCCCCAGGCATAAGCTTGGGAGAAACCCCACAGTCAGGAGAAGCAGATAGGTTTTTCCCCAAGATGGGTGACTAGAGATGACAGAGCCAGTTCTCCCCAGAAAGAACCAAAGTTACAGGTAAATGACTGTGACCAGAGGGGAAGGCTGAGGGAAGAGTGCTGGAACCTGTCAGAGAACCCACAGGAAGAAGCTAGGGTGCAGTGGAGCTGGGTGTGGTGGCTCACACTTGAAATCCCAGTACTTTGGGAGGCTGAGATAGGCAGGTCATGAAGGCCAGGAGTTTGAGACCAGCCAGGGCAACATGATGAGGCCCTGTTTCTATAAAACATACAAAAATTAACTAGGTGTGATGGCTTGTGCCTGTAGTCCCAGCTACTTGGGGGGCTAAGGTGGAAAGATTGCTTGAGCCTGGGAGGTGGAGGTTGCAATGAACCAAAATCATGCCACTGCACTGAAGCCTGGGCAACACAGTAAGACCCTGTCTCAAAAAACAAAAACCAAACCAAAAAGCCCTCAACAAACCGGGCATCAAAGGAACATACCTCAAAATAATAAAAGCCCCCAGCACTTTGGGAGGCCAAGGCGCGGGCAGATCATGAGGTCAGGAGATTGAGAACATCCTAGCCAATATGGTGAAACCCTGTCTTTACTAAACTAAAAAAAAAAAAAAAATACGTGGGCATGGTGGCACACGCCTGTAATCCCAGCTACTCGCGAAGCTGAGGCAGGAGAATAGCCTGAACCTAGGAGGCAGAGATTGTAGTGAGCTGAGATCGCACCTCTGCACAACAGCCTGGGAAACAGTGCGAGACTCCGCCTCAAAAAATAACAATGGTAAAATAAATAAAAGCCATATATGACAAACCCACAGCCAACATCACACTGAATGGGGAAAAGTTGAAAGCACCCACCTGAGAACTAGAACAAGACAAGGATGCACACTCTCACCACTCCTATTCAACACAGTACGAGAAGTCCAGCCAGAGAAATCAGGCAAGAAAAAGAAATAAAGGGCATGCACATTGCAAAAGAGCAAGTCAAATGACCTGTTTGCTGATGACATAATCTTATACCTAGAAAACCCTAAAGATTTGATAAATGACTTCAGTAAAAGCTTCAAGATACAAATTGGTAGGCCGGGCGCGGTGGCTCAAGCCTGTAATCCCAGCACTTTGGGAGGCCGAGGCGGGTGGATCACAAGGTCAAGAGATCAAGACCATCCTGGTCAA